CACGCTTTATTCGAGAAATGTTACCCTATTAACGATTCTCCTCGCTGACCCGGCTGCTTGGTACGGAATGCATACGCATAAGCATATCCGTCTACCACCCAGCACCAAATGGTTAAGTTGAACGGTTTCACTGCCAACTTAAAAGTGTTCTACGAGCACACGAAAACGGCAACTGGCACGAAACCATACCGCTCGTTCTTTTAGGGGCGAGAACGAGCTTAAAGGCAGATATCCAATGTTCCGCCACTGAACTTGTATACGGCACGACATTGCGTCTGCCCGGAGAATTCTTCACACCACGGAGCAGACCTAATTTCGGTAAATCAGACTACGTCCATCGACTGTCTGCATTTATGCGAACGCTGTCTCCGGTGTCAACTCGAATACAACATCGACAGGTCGCTCTCCCTCGAGAGTTATCTACCTGTTCACATGTTTTTGTACGAGTAGATTCGGTACGCAAACCTTGGCAACAACCTTACGAAGGCCCTTTTCACATGATCGCTCGTCACGAAAAGACCTTCAAGGTTGATCGATATGGACGCGTCGAGATCGTCAGCATTGATCGTCTCAAACCAGCACACGTCGATGACAGTGCCCTATCTGACACCCTGAGATTCAATGCTAGACCTATCAAACCTAGCGGGATCCTTAAATCTTCTTCAGGTCCCACGCTAGATGCATCTGAGACCTCATTCTCACGTCCCAGTCAACAGCACGCGTCATCTGCACCGTCTACGGACGAGACGACAGTCTCACGTCCAGATCAGCAGACCACGCCGCCCTTGACTTCGGATGAGATTGCAGGCTCACGCGACGCGAACGAGACTGCCGTCTCACGTTCCGATCGCCGAGTACGATTACCCGTACGCTTCCGCGAATAGTCGCACAGTCAACAACCGATACGGTGTAGGATTATTCCTATACTACACGTATGCTACACTCTTCTTTTTTTGATTCTCTTTTTGTTTCCTGAGCCCACGCCTTCGACCATCTACGTTGGTTCCGTCGACTTCAGTCAACTTTGGCGAAAGCTGGCCTGATCACCCACGCTCTTGTCAACGTACGCAGTCGACATATTGATTTCGAATGCTTGGCATATGCTTGGTCTCGAACTTGGTCGTTATGGTCGATTCTGGTCTTTTGGCTCAACGTGGTTTCGTCCTTCGTCTGCAGCGTTTATGGTCCGGACCCGTACGAATGCCCTCTTCAGATTCCGGATACAAACCACTCTGGTGTAGCATGCCGACTCGAGCAATAAATACAACACATCGCTCCTGGTACTGTTCTCCGAAAACGACTTTCGTTGGCAACTCGACGATCAACGATCGCTTTCCTGTTCGCCAATTCTTCCGTCCTACAATCGCTCGTCAGCCGATCAGTCCCACGATTCAAACCGCTATTTATCGAAAGTGTAAACCCTTTCTAGCGGGGGGCTCCTGTAGTGACTCACGTTTATCACGAGAACACGACTGGTTTAATAAAAACAATTATTATTATAACCAACTGTACCAGTGTTTGTTTTAACGTGCTTTTGTTTGACTGTGCTAATGACAGCTATTTTGTGCTTCCATTCTTTCGCTTACACTTCGATTGTAACTTCGCGCGAATTCGGTTACCTTCGGTAACCAAGCTTGTATTCTGGCACGATCTCGGTATCCTTTCGATGCCACGAGATCGCCAGCTAATAAACCTCGACTTGGTCCATTAACTGTCTTCTGATATTCGGCTTCTCGGGGATTTTATGGAGTCATTTGGAACGAGCTTCTTACGCCTTCTGATTCGCTTGGCACGTGTTTCTTTGTAGCGGTGTTCATAGTTAATCACAACTCGACGCCACGCTACAGTTTCATGAATTTTATCAATCATATTACGTGATTGTCAAGTTATGACAATGCTTTATGACGATATCCTGAAACTATTATGTTAAACTATTTGTAGTGTTGATTGAGGATTAGCCAGTGGAAAAATAGGTATTTTTGCTTTAGGTGATTCAAAATTATCAGAAATTTGTAGTGTTACAGAATCCGAGACGCCTAATTATATTATAGTTTTCAATTCAGGAATATTCGTTTAGTGGTAATTTTAGTAGGCTACTGAGTTTTGATTTTAAACGTTTGTTTAGCCAACAGCTACTTGGGGATTTAGTTATTTTACTAGTGCAGTTGATAGTACCCAAATTTTTAATCGAATTATCTAAACTATGTCTGCATTTTAGGCTGCTACTATGATAAACCATTACATAAACCCAAATACGATTAGCAACAACAACTATGATGGGTTTATTGATAAATGTTAAAGGCGATTCAGATGATTTCTAAATTTAGAAGACATGAAGATATAGTGTAACGTATGTACGGGCCAGGTTAACAAGCAGGTTGTTGACGTATATGACAATTAAAAAATAATGAACACGACCAGGCTGCTTCTGAAACTTCAGACAGGAATATGACGCGTTATAAACATTCCATAAGAAGTTACTGCGCTCAGCCTAGGGACACTTACAAATATATGGCAAGAGCAACTGGAAAACATATGTATGTTCAGTACAAAAAATCATTAAGTAAGATAGTTGAACTCGCCTGGATTATTTTTGAAAATTAGATTATTCAGTGGACGACATATATAACGCCATTCGTGAGGAGTAGTAATGATCCAAAAGCATCCAGAATAAAACATACAGTATGGCAATCACTTCCAGGGTGCTTGATGCTGTTGAGGTCTTTGGGACTCGCTCTGATCAGAACAACTGAATGAATCCAGATAATTGTGTGTGCCATCTAAAATGAACTTATGATTGCAGAAAACTTATAGCTGGAACTCACCGTATGTTTTTGGAGTAGTCATCCTCGTTGTTTGGCAATGGAACTCGAGGATATGAAATTAGGCAGGTAGTGGTCGGAAGAAAAGATATTACAGGATAGTGCATCGTTTAAAACAGGATGAGGTGTTAAGTGAAGGGACACTGAGAATTAGATCCAAAGAACTATTTAGTCCTTGATCGCATTGTTAGTCAATGTATATTTACGCTATTTACAGGTCATATTTGCTAGAGCTTGATGTTTAAACAAGACTATGTCGCTGAAGCATGTAAATGCTATTACAGCTTGTTAACAAACCATCAAAGCTAATTAGTTAATATAGACGACCAGTTTTTATTATCGATTGAGCTAGTTTGTCATGAGGACTAAACAATATAACATTACGATAATGCATGGGAGCATTAATCAGAGGACTATTGGAATACAGGGTTAACATAAATCGATCGAGAAAGTTGAAGTGGAAATAAGGATTAATAATAATAGGTTGCGTTTCTTTAGTTGGGCTCACCAATGTAGAATTATGGTCTACTATGATATTAGTACTGCTCTAATAATAAACGTAATCTTAAACTTGTCGATTTGTCATGATATAACTGCCTAATCTATAAGATCTTACGTGGAAGTCACACCATCGACTACACCAACTCACTGTATCGTATCAATTACCAATACATGATGAGGAACAAGGTTAGGCTAGAGAAAGAACAATATATTTAATATGAATAGAAGATATAAAGTAACACTGAGATGGACCACGCCTGCATGGACGAGCCATGCCACTCGATCAACTCCAGTCCATTCAATTCATTGTTCGCGCCTTCTCCATTGTTAGGTATTTCCCCGAGTTAAATATTGAATATCTATTTTCTGAGTAGTCTCGTGTTCACAGCTTTGTGGATTGTGTGGCTATTGTCCAATGCCACTACAAGTTCACCATCATTTTTTCGCTGAGCCACGAGACCGAAGTTCATTTCTGTTTGACTTAGTCTACCTACATGATCATTAAAATCACCGCCGACTATCATAACATCAGAACGTTTAATTTTCTGGAGGTAGTCAGAATATTTCTATAAAGTTGACCTGTGACTCCGTCCAAGCTGCAACCAGTGGGAGCGTCGGAAGTAGGTGTTTGTCCTCAACTTCCCGATTTCTTACTATACTGCTTGGTTGGACAGCCAACAATCTACTGTCTATTGGAATCCGGTCTTATACAGCTTGTTCTGCTTTGTAAGCTTAAAGCTATACTCAAACCAACGAGTTCAAGGAAAGTACAATTGAATCCTCAGGTACACGAAGTTAGTATTACGACGATTCTTCGTACTGATAGGTCGAGACCAAACAGATAACGTACTAGGATTCTGTACGCGCGTTTTAGAGACGCGGTATACGTTAATGGCGAGAGATTCTCTTGTCCAAGCCAAAGAAGCCTGTTGTCCAATCTGACATAGAGTTCAATCCCTAAAAGCTGCAATATGTAGTTTATAGCATGGAGACCGAGGATAACATTCCGTGAACCCAAATCATTAGCATTGGTGATGCGTTGTGATCAAAACATGCAAGAAGGGTTAATCATGAAGATGGAGGAATTATAAAGATGCATTTGAGGGAATTGATCAGGAACAAGGTGATTTCCGATGTTATCACTAGTATTAGTGTAAATGTCCTATTTGGCTGCCCATATCGTCGAAAAATAATTCTTGACGGATCTGAAGGGAAAGCTGGGCTGGTGATCGTCTTAGTGAACTGGGGTCGTGGACGGAGAGCCAAAAAGATAAATGCTCAAAGGTGGTCAAGTATGGCCTTTTTATGGTAAGTTTCTGATGCTTGAAGCTCTCCAAATAGAAAGGCTCTACCTCCGAAGATGGAAGTCCACGGGGTAAAAGGCGATCAGACACTTTCGACGTTGACCTTTTCTAACATCCACGTTTCTCATTCATCTGTTAGTTCTTTCTTCAACACAGTCTAAAAGCTACTATCTCCGACGAAGTAAAACTGTGACTTGAAGGGTTTATTGAGAATATACTCGTAATAGATAAAAAGGAACTAAAGATAGCTTTAAAAAAATTTCGAGCAAAGGAATTTCGTGATTCGTTGAAAGATTAAAAAAACATGACTTTACATAATAGAGATCGTTCAATTTCTTTGAAAGAATAAAACTTTCATTTTACGTTGACCTACACTTGAAGTTACTGACCTTTAAAAAGTGCGTTGTTTGGATTGGCGTTGCGCAAATGAGCTCTGATGAGGATGAATTTTTCGATGCACCTGAGGCTTTAGGATGCGGATGCAACGTTCGGAAGTGGAGTGACAAGTATGTTGCTTCGTCTCTGCCTTATTTGAATAGCGACGACGAGTTGATTCGCACTTACTTTGATTTTGATAGTCAAAATGCTCGTAGACGAAGTCGAGTGGAATCTCTTAAGAAGAATCTTTTGGAAAAATCATATTCTCTCGGACATGCATCTGGAATTAACAGTTTAGAGACTACGGAAGAGGTATATGCAAGACATAATTCTATTTCATAGTTTTTAATTTATTGACGTATGCACTTATTTCACCGTATATAAAAGTTCTCTGCCTAAATACAATAATTAGTAACAATCTTGTACTCATCTAGCCTTCTTTAAATACAACTTTAGGCTTGTAAGTAGCCTCATGGTTCAATTTTCTGTTTTACATCAAAGTTGGTGCGTGTTACTTTTGGATAAACCATCTAGATTTAAGACAGAAATCTGGATTTTTGGGTGACACTCATCCGTCTATACAACTGAATAGCATATCCGCTTTATGGCTGGTGGTAGTTCGTATTGAAGACTCTATCCTAATCTTTGACGTCTAACTATAACTTGAGATCTCTGTTCTTCACACTAATTTATAACCCTTTTTTGACACTGAATGATTAACGTTTCTAAAAGCCACTTTAATGTCTCTCAGTCGTCGTTCGTGAGTTTTAACTCTTTCTTTAGTTTCAAATTATTAGGCCGCTCTATGAATAGATAAAGATTCTGTATATTCACGTGTTTGTCGTAGCGTTTCCGTTCATTTTAATTTGAAGTTTAAGCTGATAAATATGTTTTAATAACTTAATATTAGCTGCCTAATGTGCATCGTTTTACTTAGATGTGGATTACTGAGTCCTAATATCTGAAGAATCGGTAAAATGTTGAGTAAGTATGACTACCTAACCTTTATAGTTATTATATACAAGTTCAGTGATAATTGTCTTTGGTTGTTTGATGTACTGTTTAACCTTATTTTTGTTTTATAAATGAATTATTGATAAATTTTTCCTAATGTATAAACATAGATTCTATCACGAAATGTTGGCGATCACATCTCTCCGACGGTTGAGACATATCAGTCTGAAATTGGAGTTCTGAATCTTCCAGGCAGTAAAAATGAGTTCACTTCAGATCAGGAGTTATTGCGCAGAATCAAACTGCATCATGAACCTGCTTTTGGCTTCTTGAACTCTCAACAGGAAAACCCAAGTAAGTAGGTCATTCTCCACTTGTTCGTATCACTCATTGTTAATTTTGAGTGCAGCTATTGGTTGGCATAGAGACCTTTTAGTAATATTATTTCTTCCTTTTCTCATAGAACAGCAAGCAACACCTGTCTATCTCTTGTATCATCACTGAGACTCCTTTTATAAATAAGTGTTCTCACATGAAATGTTTTGAAAGTATGTATGACCACAAAGTCAGCTTTTGGTTTGTGGAAAGTTTGCCTACTAGTTAAAGCTTTCAACCTTCAAAGACCAGGTTAAATATTTAATTCCCACTCCATCTTTGGCCAAAATACAAGTAAAAAAAAACCGTAACCAGTTAAACACAAGATCTGTAAAAATGTATATCAACTGTTGTCGACTGTAATGTTAGTCATAATGATGTCAGCTAAATTATTTAGTATTGCTCTCAAAAGTGTAGGGTTATATGAATAAATGATCAGCACCTTAGTGACCTATCTGGTTGTGTTCATAGCCTATCCCTTAAGTTTTATTCTCCTTACTGATCTTTTTTGAGGTTTATCGACATACATTCAAGTTCAAGAACCATCCATAAATAGTCACTTAAACTTACTGGATACTGACAGTACTCAAAAGAAGTTATCGAAAACACAGTTTGCACAAACACAGACTATTTTCCGGGACAACGGGTCCTTAAGGTATCCCAATGAATGTGGCTTCAGATCTCCTATGAATGTTAGCATATGTGGTTGTTCAAATGCGGCACCTGGTACTCCAACAGTATATAAATATACACATCCTATTATGAATGAAGTTGCAGACTGTAATTTTGTTGAACGTGCAGACCCTCCAGTCATTCAACTTCTCAGATCACAGGTAGTATCTTCGGCACCTGAGGTATCAAATAGAAATAATGAAGCTAGACATCTCTTGGATTATGTCAAATCTTGGTCTCTGGGTGCGGCTAAACAATATGTAAGTTTCATTTAACTTAGTCTTTGAACATATGATGGTAAATACGGATGTGTTTCTGTTTTCGATGCTGTTCTCGATCTTATCTTGCTGATGAAATAACAAACAAAATGTATTGTTTAACAACTATAGTATGAAAGAAGCTACTAGTCTGCTGTTGGAACAACACCACTAGTATGTTTATTGACATAATACTTTCCTTCTTATGTATTAATTGTCGGGCGATGAGCACCTAGCTTAGCAACTGGTTTGTGCTTCAGTGTAAAACACAAAAACATGTCAGCTTTTTACATATCATATGATCACTCCCACTATTTTTTTTATTGACAGGATGGTTTGGCGAAATAAGTTGAATAAACCATAATCTTTTAGGATATTTTCACCATTTTGTATCGTTCACCCCTGAGAAGTTTACCTCTTAGTTTGTTTGGTACTACGCAATACAGTGGCTTATTGGCCGAATCATTCATCTTTGTATCGTTGAATAGAGCCATATCCCACTTACCCCGGTCTCGATAACCGGTCCGTGTCATTGACCTTCGCACTATTGTTTAGCTTAAAATGAGTGCACAAGTTTGCACTAATTTTTGCTGAGTTACAGCTGACCATGATTAAAATTGTTTGAGAATTGACATGCAGCCTTAGAGTCTAGTTCCAAATTTATAGGAACGACCGTCCTTGTTTGGACCACTTATGATTAAATAACACTTAATTGCAGTGGGTAGGTATCAAGGACTCATGCTAGTCAATAACATATTTTATGCATAATATATTGCTACTAATTTACTCTTTCCTTATTTCAGAGCGCTGGACCGTTTCCATCCATTAACGGGACTGTTACATTAGATCGTATCAGTGAGTTCATAAATCTATTTCAAGATCTATTTTCGTTTATAAATTTTCTTGGGTCAAACCATACAGTTGGTCATATCATGCTTAATCCTTAAATTTACGTCTGATTTCTTATTCACTATCCAATGTTAAATATCTTCCGAGTTAAACTCAAGCTCGGAACAATTAGTCTGCTCATGTGAGGAACTTGGAGTCGATTTGTCGTTATGGTAGTATTATCAGGACTTATACAGCTGGTTTATGGGACAAACGAGAGCAATGTGATTCAATTCAAATAAAGCAGCAGTTTATTTATTAGTCCAAAATATCGACCGACAGGGTACTTGAGCGTCGACTAATGATGATTCAAATTGGACTGTGAATTTTCCGTGTTTATATATATTATCAGTTTAAATATGTAGTGAAAAGACCTGTATAATTATTTTAGTGATGCCATAAATGGTCGGTGATGGTCGATTAATACTACATTGCGGTGACTCAATAGCTAAATACTCAGAGCCAAATATTAGATCTCATTGATGAGAAAGATACAAATTTAAAACCACTAAGGAACACGTAGCCAACATAACATCATTACGAATTACATATTCGTTAAAACTTGAGTCAGTCAGTAATGTAGGAACATAGTTCTCATGAAATGTCTGGATTATTATTTTAGTCTTACGAGTGTTATTTACTTGTTTTCTAAAACCCAACCAAGATGTCAAGTTCATATAGAAGCATTCTTATATTAGTCTAAGTATTTACATTATATATATGATCGTCATCCTTCCGACCTTCATACCATTATTGAGATTCCCAGCAAGTTCATATTATTCGAAGTTGTCATATATCGTTCTTGTTCTTGACTAACGTCATTGTAAAATCATACCATAATCCGTACTGCAGAATTCAGACAGTAGAAAATCCTCTTAATTTGTGATCATATAAGTTAACAAGTAATTAATTACATGTGAAAATAACCGTCATCAAACTACCAATAAATATTGGTTTTTAGCCGTCGCTTCAATTGCTTCATCCACATTGTATTATTTGATAACCAGTTAGTCGTTATTGAGTTACCAGCTTTTTTTATTGAAATTGGGTTCATCATTTAATTTATATTAGCTTTTAGTCTTTGAAACATTATGACTCAATTATGACCTTTTTAAAATTATTTTTGTTACTGTGTTCTGGCTTATAATTAATTAGCAAATAATAACCTTCCACAACATCAAACAGACAAAATGGGCTCAATCGGATTCGATTCATTGTATACTACAGCATTAGGTCGTACGGGATTCGGATCATTATTTCCACAGTCTACTACTGCTACTTCTATCATTACTACTGCTGTTGTTGCAATAAATACAACAACCACGGCTTCCTCTGCCCCTCCTTACAATCAAACTTCTGAAATTCAGGATCCTTGCCCTCATCATCGTTCATGTAGGTTAGTTAGTACTATGGTGCAAACGGATTTAAATGTAGATGAAAAGCATAATGATTCAAATGAACAAATATTGAATCGTTTCCATCGTGACACTTTAATGAATAAGTTTCCTACGGATTACAACAACACTATTGGTAGTGATAAAATTGTGAAATCTGCTTCAGCCACATTGAACAATGAATATCAAACTGTAAATCCTATTGAGATACAATTTCGTGATCGAACTAGAAGGCAAGTTAGTTTCATTTTTTCGCTAATTGGAAGTACTGGTATGTTTTCTCGAAGTAGGTAAAAACAGAATCTTACGGCTTGCTGATTAAGTGAATTCTCACGACGATTCAATTAAAAACGCAGTGAAAAGTGATAGTCAGTGAAGTACTATAGGTATCTAGTTAGAGGTTATTAATGAACGTAAGACGTATAAGTTTGCCACAATCAGATGTGAAAGGTAAAAGATTCAGGACTCTCGATTGTTATCTAGGATTCCCCTCAAAATTCATAAATATCATTTTGGTGTTTTATCATTCTTTAAGTATTTTTCAATCCATTGCAAGCAATATTTTCTTCTATATATATAGCTGATTAGGGTCTACTTATCTTACTACTTGTAGTGGCTGGCTAATTTAGCCCTCATTATACCAGCCAGACATTTATTTGTCTATCTACTAAAGGTTTAGTTTGATGTACATTCTTCCCAGTTACAGAATTTTGAGGTGTAATTGTCAAGATTATTTCATGTTAGAAGTCTTTAATTATACAATCTTTAGTGCCTTCTAAGTATTTCTTACCAAGCAGAAAATTGTTAACGACCTATACTGAGTGTAGTAATAGAGAATTAATTAATTATTTTCTAGTAAAATGATTTATTTCAGCAAAATATTTTGACAATATTGCGAGTTTTGTGAATCAACAAAAGTTATGACCTATTTGGTCCTCAATAATGCTGACAGTTGGGATAAAAAGTTTTCAGACCTATAGCAACGTGTTATTCACATGTTTTTTTCGAAAAAACTATTTCACTTCTCTCATTGTATCAACATTAACAACCAGATAAGACATCGACCGTCATAGTTTCGCTTACGACAATATATGATTCTATTCAGTTGCTCTTCCGTTTACAATACTGTTACTAGTTTGTTGTATTTTTTATTTTATGTCTTGTATTCAGTAATTCAAGTTTACCGTTGACTTCATTGGGTGACAAACAATCCATTGATTTCTCGATGTCATCTCAAGAGAACTCGATTGGAGTAATGAGGTTAGTATGTTCCCTTAATTATTTTGTTTTCAGAAGTCTATATCATTACAAGTAAACAAAAAAATAAAAATATAGGAAGTCGGTTAGATTCAGCGATGTGGGCTTCTGTACTCTAAGTCTGTGGTTATGAGTTCTATTCTGTGTGAGGGGCGTAAGTAAGTGCAGGTGGGATTCAAAACTAGATTAAAAGTTTTCTAATTTTCTGCATCGTTTTCTTATTTTTTCCCTAATGTCAGATGTTAACACAACTATATTCAATAGGAAATAAATCAATCATAGGTAAATTGAGTAATGACCACAACGGTTTTAAAGATAATTAAAAAATGTTAAGTCATCAGTTATCCAGTAATTGATGTGGTTTTCTAAATATGTAGTTGTTTAAAGGTTTTAGTCATGTCACTTAGTATTAAGAAAACAGTAATCGACGTATTTTAACTCTGCAACATTCTTTTAAAGTTTATGGAGTGTAAAAGGCATTCAAAAAATATATGCTCGTTTGCACCTTGGCTATGTACCTTTATTCTATCATTGTATTTATTCAAACAGAATTGTATACTCAAAATAATTTAAATTCACATCTGACATTTTTAGTTCACCACCGATCATCCATGCAATACATTGTGTAGTTGTGGTGCAAGTGATCTATGCTGATGATATATCCATTATCACTATTCCGAGGTGTTATTATCGTAAATATCGTTTATATAAGCTGAAAAGAGCAAAAAGTCTAAGAAACTACTTTGTATTATCCTACTTTTGACCACGGCAGCATCCGAAAAGGAGTAGTTTATTTTGAATATTTGGTGTCGGTAACTAGAAAGAAACCAAGCACACTGAGGCTTTCTGACCCCATAAGGGATGAGTTTTCTTATAAGAAGCTGATGGTTAACTATGTCAAGAGCTTCAGAAATATCAAGGTATAGCTTTAAGGCTAGATAACCAACGGTTACGTCGAGTAGAAACGAAATTAAAGAAGTCACCATGGCAGCTCATACGAGATCGAGTTTTAGGGAAACCATGTTGAGAGTCAGTGATAAGTTTTTTTAGTGAGTAAATAGTTAGAGAGTTCGTCACCAACAATCCTTTCCATTGTCTTGGAGTAATATTTATGCGCCGATTATTGTTCATGTCAGTCTTATCTCCGGATTTGTAACGTTGTGTAACGTGTGCGGTCTTTCAACAGTAACGGTAATTACTTGTTTCCAGAGAGAGAGAGAGAAAGAGTAAACAGTTTTAGAATAAGTAGTGGAATATATGGTCTACCATATTTGTTGAGAATGGATGAAATCCCATCCACCATATGACAGTTTGAAACCTTAAGGGGGTTTTTTCGCTTTACTAATTTTTAGATAAGTGAAAGAAAGAAATTTTGTGGAGTTACATACATAACTTTTGAACCATCGCCACTTAAGAATTCATTATTTCTCGCAAAAATGTCACTTAAAAGGTTTACGATAGTTTTAGAGTCGTTTGATCACCGCCGAAAATTCCTTCCTGTAGATCAGACAATGTCTGGTGTCTTCTATATAAAAATTCCCAAGTACTTAAAGAATCATATTAAATCAAATCTGTGTAGTCTCAGTGGATGGTTGCTGTATCCTGATATTATGCTTTCATATTCAACACTGATTTTCCGCTAGTTTATGGACTACAATTCAGTTATTATTTCAGATCAACCTCTCTATTTACCAGATTTAGTCTCGCTTCATTTTGTTTTTGAACTGCGAATTAGTAATGAAGGATGAGAGCTCTGGAATGATTTGAGTACAATGAAACATGAAACGACGAGTCATCTGTGAAGAGTCTGACATCCATGAACTTATTGCGATATTTTAAGCAATAGAAACAGTTTGAATAAGTACACTGCCACAAATGCACAATATTTTGCAGAGAAATTAGATAGATATAGCGTAAATTTAGGTAAATCAAGTTTTTGGATCTGAGTTCACTTATTATTTTCTTCTTTGAATATACTATTATATAAGTACTCATTATCATTAGTTTTATAATGTATGCAAAATTACATTTTCTAATTTTCTCTTCCTTAAAATTAAGCAAAATGACAAAAATTCATAAATATTTTCGTGGCGCTATGAGTGCAATGAAATCTGCTACAAAAAATAAAAGTTAGTTTGTTTTGTTTCAATTTTAATCATCATTGTTATGTTTAGTGATATTTTATCATTGAAACTGATCTAATTTTTAAATAATAAATAATTTAAATTATTTACTATTTGGTTATTAATCGGTGAGACTGTAATTTATGGACGACCTTTGAGCGACGCTAAAGTGACCTTGACAGTATCTAGCTACTAGGGCTAAATGAGGGTTATAAAGTAGTTTGAAGAATAAGGATTATGATTTACAGTTGATGGTCAAGTTTAAGAATTAGATTTAAGGTTTTCATCACGAACTGACATCAGCTATAATGTCAAGACTCTATTTGACCAAATGGATGAATGAATTCCGCATCAAAACTCAGGACCTGTTATCCTCAATCTGATTGGTTCATCCATAAATTATAGTCTCGTCAAAATATATTTGTACGAAATTGTTTTTGTTCTAATTCACTGGTGTCATTTTGATATTAGCAATCAATTTCAAATTCTATTTTCTAATCAGTTTAAAACTGGAAAATTAGATCAATCATCTTTTTGGTTTAGGTACACTTATTAATAGTACACTACTCTAATTGTATATAACTTCCTCTTGTGCTTAATAATTTATTAACATCATTAAGATTTCACATGTTTTTTTCTAATCTGTTTAGCGAATAAACTCACGTGAATTATGTTTTTCATATCTACATACTTCTATTTCCTGCATATCATTATATTCTTAATTTAAATCTTTCAAAGACATTATCATTCATTATGGGTATGGTTTTCGTGATTTAATCCTAGTCTTCCATCCCCTTGATCGTAATCAATGTACGAATATTGAGGGGATCAAAATTCAATAATACATCAAGCTTCGAAATCGATAAAAATGTCTGTCGCTAAAAAAGTCTTATGAACAATTATATGTATCTATTTGTCAGTCAGTTAGTCGGTTGTAATCAAGATAGAGCGTGACACAAATATGCATCATCCCAAGTAATCATATCATGTCAGCACATCGAGACCATGTTTTTTGATTATCTTTTAGTTTCATAGCTATCACTATCTATTCCACCGTCTTTATGAAACTTTTACACTAAACTATCGAGTAGTAATCTGTGTTATGTTTTTTAGTCATTAATGCTGGTTGAATTCCATACATCAAGTTGTAATATGGCCATAAGCTCAAGTGATTTGACATCCTGTATGAATTATCTTTTGATGTTTGGTGGTTGCCAGCAGTTGAAATGATGCCTTAAACCTAGATTTTGTATCATTTCTCACTTTTCAAAGAGATGTATTTGCAATCCTGAGCGAATCGATGCTCCCTGTTGAATTAGAATCCTTATCACTGAGTTTCACAGCCAAAGACGTTACCACTGAGCTGTTCAGGCCTCAACTAGCTTCCTTTGGGACTGAGACTTTTACATTAATTACGCCTCAAACTGTAACACAGGAGAATTAGTGCTTTCAAGACTGCCGGTAACCGTTGCTAACGCGTAACAGCTTTCTGTTAATTATATCCAGTTTATCTAATATCATTAAACTTTTGTCGACTGGTCTTTAAGTGCAAATTAACTTTTAGTCTTATTAATGTTATTTACCATTGTTTTTTTTTAAAAGTTTTCAATCCCGATGAAGAGTCATCTGATGAAGATGAAGAAATTATCGGAAATCAAGGCATTCGTGTAGGTTATATTTTTATTTGTATTATTGCCAATAACTTAATGATTTAAGCATCTGATTTTCAATAATCAATAAGGTCATGATAACCCTACTTAACCTACTTCAGTTTAACTATTGCATAAAAAAACTGACTGAATTATGTGTACGCAGAATTGTACTTAATTATTAAGTTACATTAACTAAAAAAGTATTTTCTACTGCCTCCTGTAAATTTTTTCCACATTGTAACCAAGTTTGATGGATCTTTAGTGCCTATTGTCTGACTCGATTCCATTATGATCGCGTGATGATAATGGTGTTAGTAAATTTTATGTCCCCCTTGACTCCGTATGTTTTTTATTGACTTAGTTTGCGTTAGCGAATGACAGAATAAAACAAATCAAAGATAATTTTGGATACATATATTTCACACATCCTTTGGTGTAGACAGATAATCCAAAAAGAAGCAGATAAGGCAAACTTAATTAAAACATTATCGAACATTTATAGGCATGAGAAATGCAAGTATATCGATACCTATATACTACCATATACTCGTGCTCAAGGTCACATATATTAATGATTGATGACTGGAAAGGTTAGAATAATTAATAAATGCCAAACTTAGAACAAACCGCATAGTTGTTCAATGCAGTAAAAGCTGTTACGGGGTCGATTTGATATAATGCTAATATTCAAAGATATATACCTACAAGACGATGACCCTTGAAGTTGGAGCAATTCTAAGCGTATTCTAAACATAGATTTCTTCATTATCTATTTAGCTGTTGTGTAAAGTAACAAATATGATAATTTTTATCATAGCATTTCATGGTGAACGATGGAGTGGCTCAATAGTTGAGGACTTCGACTTTCGATCGCTAATTCAAGTTTTCAAACTCCACTTCATCCACTCTGGTTTGGTCGATGAGGTAGCTTTGCTAGCCCTTATATTTATAGTTAGTCTCGAAATCAGTTGCAAGAATCTTTACCTGGTTTAGCCACCTATAGTTTTCCAACCTATTTGTCACTCCAGGTTAATGTTGGGGATGGATGAAATAAATTATATATTTTCCGACGGCCGAGATTTATAAAGATATATAATCAAATTAACTGATATGTTATTTTCGCCTAGCATCACATGCCGTACCTCATTATCACTTATTCGGTTATTTCGTCACACATGATCAAGGTTTCGAAGATACTTATAATCAAGTACTGATATTTTACCCATTTCTTGTTCCATATACTGTTTCATAGCTTTGGACTTGTGCTGAAAAAATTGCGGAACAGTGTAATCTTCCCTTTTGTTGGTAGACGACTAGCCCTTTCATGACACAAGTGACATAGTGAATAAAAAAAATCTATATTTCTGAATCTCAAAAATGTTTGCATTGCCGTTCAAGCGGCTCAAAAGACTTCATCTTTTTATTGTCTTCATCAAACAGAACTGTGTCATCTACGCATTCTGAGTCAATAATGTAACCTCCTGGTTGGAAATTAATCCCTGAAAGATTAGATGATGTTATCTCTAAACGCTCGTCCAAGATTAAAGCCACCAACCCTGAAGAATATAATGTTCATGTTGTTTTTTGTACTTCTCATTTGCAGCTAAGATCATCTAGACAAGCAAGAGGAAGACGAGAATTTCTACAGATCAAATTGGTTCAGGAAATGAAAAACGAACACACGGTTAGTCTATTTGTTTTCGCTTAGTTTCTTGGTGATAATAATAGTATCGAGTTAAAATCCTAATTTGTTTATGAATACAGTGATGTTGAGTGCTGTTAGAGGTATAAGGGTGGTTATCACTTCCCGGCTGCCCACACTGTGGAAGGGTTCTTCTGGAGGCACCTGAAAAGGAAATTGGATTAGAGGTGGTCTTAGCGACCTGAGAGCGTGACCGCAGTGCCCAAGGAACAACTGCTTGAGATCGGTCACACACGACCTTTTTGTGAGTAATTTTTGTGTTAACCCCGTACTTGTTGAGACCTTACCGCCGTAGATGGATACCCATGGGATAAGGCGAGGTGTGCATTTTTCGGGTCGACCTTTTCTAACCCCACCTTTCCTTCTGGGAAGGCAGCATCGTTGTCATGCTGGTTGTCTGAAGGAAACACCTTACTGCTGTCACACCTCTGTATAGTCAAAAGTGCGACTTCGCCTTCGGACCTTGGGTTTGCTGCTTTTAGTCTTACCGCTCTTCAACCGACTTGTACGGCATGGTAGGACCTTGAGGAACGATTGTTCCAGCCAGTATAGCTCGATTAGTTCATTACGATAGGCAAGCCCGACCATCAGGTCAAGGTAGCAGCAATGGTCGGGAAACATTAGGCGGAACACTTTAAGGAGCAGTTCAGCTGATCTTCAGTTACTCTACTACCCACCATTCTCAAACAGCCTGAATGGAACATTGAAGTAGGTCCCCCGACTCTAGCTGAAGTTCAAAAGGCTGTAGCTAATCTGAAACGAGGAAGAGCAGCTGGTCCAGATGGATTAGCTCTAGATGTCTTTAAGTATGCTGGCCTAGTTTTAGCGATTGGGTTGACTAATATTTTAGCTAAAATCTTTCTTTTATATATTACTACAATTGAAGTAACTACTATGAATTCGGTGTTGATCTTGTTGTGCTAATGAAGTGTGGCAACTTGGACCGATGCATATATATGCCTGTCCTACGTTGCAGCTGACTGACTAATTTGTATACATTGTGTAAATTATGGAGTTTTGTTTGTTTCTATGGCTTTCATGTTGGGGATGTTAGATCCCCAGAACTCACTTGGTAAATGCCTTAACTTTGTAATTTTATTTTGAAAATTTGAATTTTCTTGTTTTCGCATCAAAAGCGCTCTTTTCACCTTCATGCCATATTTCCCACTTGGGAGAATCTTTAACGTCATTGGTCCGTTGTGTATTTTAGTATGCTATTTTGTAACGCTTTCCAAGGACAGTTTTATGCTGTATATATACCTATGAATTGTGTCTGTTGTTATCGCTCGCTCGTGCTTCTGGCTTTTACGGAATATACTTCCCCGTCGGACTTCGACTTCTCTCTCTAGTTAACGGGGCTACGACGCAATAGAATAGCTAGTTTATTGGTCTTTGGTCACAAGTCTTTGTTCCGTTCTCAGTCTAAGTGAACTCGTAACCGCTTCAAACCTAGAATTTCATCAGACTATAAAGTCATAGTGATTTAGATCAGTACCTAATTATTGGTCTGAGTGAATTATCTAAGTGTAGCCTTTAAAATAACAGTAATTAATGCCTGAAGACTCAATAACATAACTGAGGATCAATCACAAAGACTTCAATAAGTGCACTCTGTATCTTTCTCGAAAATTTCTTTTTCTATTCTTCACTTTTTCAATCATATCTTTCTTGATCACCTTGTTATATTTCCATTTCTGATGATTTTCTGAGGCTACTTTTCGTGACAATTTGAAACAATATGTACTCTTGTGGTATATTTATCAATAATCCTATGATTTCATTGACTTATTAGTTCGAATTATTTCTTTATGTTGATGAGTAGTATTGAGTTTTTGCTGTAGATCTGCAAGATCCTTTGAAATGAATGGTTAGAAAATTTCTGTTATATAATACAATGTTTAATAATGTCCGTGAATCTGTTTATTTTAAGTAGTAAAAATACCTTACTATTTTTATACGCAATGTTCCTCCGTTTTTATTGTTAGGTACTTTATTGGTAATTGTACTTGACTTTATTTGGTATTTCTACGCCTTTCTCGAGATAATAATAACATTGAATCTGATACAAACAGATATAAACCATACCTATGACCTTTCATATATATGTACGTATCTAACTTACCACTTTCCATATAGTTCAGTAGAAGTAACTTAATATAATGAAGAGAAGTGCAACATCATTTGTTATTTCTAATAGTGTTGGGTTGTCTTGACTTAATATTTTGTTTATAAATGTCAACTTTAGTATCCTGAAGTATTTGTTCAATTAGTCAACTGATAATTTTCTATCTTCCGAGAGATGGATCTATTCAGTTGAGATTTTTTTGTGGAGATTGATTCTGTGATTGAATTGTCAGCCTTATCGTCTCAGTCATCTTAATGATAATTATAGTAATCTTTAATAAAAATATTATTATTAATTGAGATCGTGAACCAATTAATGTTAGACCAACATTGGAAACCTGGAAATACTGGACGGCCATTTCTCCCTAATATGAGACTACTCGGGAGTACGCATTCACGACTACACACGTGGGGCTCGAACCCAGGACCTCTGGTCTCGCGTGAACTTTCAACCTCCAGACCACTGAGCCAGGACCCAACAGTTTTAATGCCCAACTTTAATCAATCCACGATTAGTATGAAATGGTAATAATAATAACACATTAATTGTTGTATTGATTCAATATTAAGAAGATGAGTGGAAAAAAGGATGTTAATGTAAATATTAAGTGAAATCGTGTTATGAAATATATTGAATGAGAGACGAACACAAGTGAATGTCAGAATGGGGAATTGTGGAAATTGCAGTAATTAAAGTAACTACAGTGTTTTTAGAATTTCATATTCTTCGAGTCAGTCCACATATTTAGATGCATATTTCTGTTTAATGAATTCATTTTTTTTCACTTTAAACTTTATTTTTATCACTCATTATCTTATTACTAATTTTAATTTGTTCTTATCTATTCTTATTGTCCTCGTTTATTTTACTGGGTATATTCCAACTTTACATACTCAATTTTATTTGTTTTGCCTTCTATTTTCATTGTTATTATGCATTGACAATAATAATAATAATAATAATAATAATAATAACAATAATAATAATAGTAAACACTAAAATTTACATAATAACAAATGCGTGGATGATCAATATACGAAGAAAAGAAGGAAATAAAGAGTAAAAAGAAGTAATACTATAATGAACGAGAACACAAGTGAGGACAACCATATATATTTGAACACAAAATTACAGTACATCTTAGAACCATATAGTAAATACTTAATTTGCACAATGTCAATCAATCGTGTCAGACTTCACTGTTCCTTCATTTCCACAGCAATCCTTCTTTATTCTCGTTCTCTGTCCTTCGATCTTCTTAACCTTCGGTCACCAGACATTTCACTTTCGATTGATGATACATACTACTTATATCTATCGACATCAGTAAGATTTAAATAGCTTCATATCTTTCTACGAACTAATTCTGTCTTCCTGTACCCTTATACACAATCTTTCTTTTATACATTACTACCATTGAAGTGAATACTTCTATGAATTTGATGTTCATCTTGTTGTGCTAATGAAGTGTGGTAACTTGGACCGATGCATATATATGCCTGGTCCTACGTTGTAGCTGACTGATTGACGGATATTAGTAGCACACACCACAATATTATCATCTGTTAGGTTCTTTTAGGCCAGTGGAAGGATGAATATTTTATAAACCTTTCATTAACATAAAGACTGGATTTTTCTAGCTATAATTTTTGTAGTTTCATTTACATGTACGAGACGAGTACAAGCCCTGTTCAGTAAATTTGGACGTATTTGTCATTGTGTTTGAAACTATATGATCAGAATAACAAAAGGAGGTTACTGGTCATTAATAGTAGGATTGTTTATCTAGTATTTTTCAGCCTGGTAACAAACGATGGAATTAAAAACTCTTCAATACAAATATAGCATGTTGACGTCGGGGTTGGCAACGTGTACTTCTAACCTTCATTATAGGTAAAATGTAGGTTCAAGTCATTTTGAAAAGATATGGTACATACCGAAAGTGTTCTTAAATGCTTTGGTCATTAAATCACGTGATAAGTGTGATAAATTATGCGTAGGGCCCAAATTTATTTAACCCCTTCTGAACTAGCAAAGACGTTAGCTACCAAAAAAATTCTATTGCTGATTTTCAAGCTCGACATGATTATATGTGTAGTGAAAGAAATGTCTGATGGGGAAAACCAAATTATGCACTTACTTACTTACTTACGCCTGTTACTCCTCGTGAAGGAGCATAGGCCGCTCACCAGCATTCTCCATCCAACCCTGTCCTGGGCAATCCTTTCTAGCTCCGTCCAGTTGTAATTCATCGCTTTCATATCTGCTTCTATTATCCGACGCAATGTGTTCTTTGGCCTTCCTCTTTTTCGCTTCGCTTCAGGATCCCAAGCTAGGGCTTGCCTCTTGGTGCAGTTCGACGATTTGCGTAATGTATGTCCTATCCATTTCCATCGTCTTTTCCTAATTTCTTCTTCAGCTGGAAGTTGGTTTGTTCTCTCCCATAGAAGGCTGTTGCTGATGGTATCCGGCCAATGGATGTTGAGTATCTTGCGAAGACAGCTATTTATAAATACTTGTACTTTCTTGATTGTGGTTGTTGTAGTTCTCCAAGTTTCAGCTCCATACAGTAGAGCTGCCTTGACGTTCGTATTGAAGATTCTCACTTTGATATTGGTTGAAAGTTGTTTTGAGTTCCATATGTTCTTCAATTGTAGGAATGCGACCCTTGCTTTGCCGATCCTCGCCTTTACGTCTGCATCGGATCCTCCTTGTTCATCGATGATGCTTCCCAGGTATGTGAAGGACTCTACATCTTCCAGAGTTTCGCCATCAAGTGTGATTGGATTGCTGTTCTCCGCTTTGAATTTGAGGACCTTAGTTTTCCCTTTGTGTATGCTGAGGCCTACTGATGCAGAGACTGCTGCTACACTGGCTGTCTTTATCTGCATCTGTTCGTGTGTACGTGATAGGAGGGCTAGGTCATCTGCGAAGTCCAAATCGTCTAATTGGTTCTTAGCTGTCCATTGTATTCCGTGTTTTCCTTCAGATGTTGAGGTCTTCATAATCCAGTCGACCACCAGATGAAAGAGGAAGGGAGAGAGTAAACAGCCTTGTCTGACTCTGGTCCTTACTTGGAATGCATCTGTCAGCTGTCCTCCATGCACTGCTTTGCACTGTAGTCCGTCGTATGAGTTCCGGATAATATTGACAATCTTCTCAGGAACTCCGTAGTGTCGAAGAAGTTTCCATAATGTCCTCCTATCTACACTGTCGAATGCCTTTTCATAATCAATGAAGTTGATGTATAGTGATGAGTTCCACTCAACTGATTGTTCGACGATGATCCGTAGTGTTTAATTTGGTCTGTGCACGACCGATCCTTACGGAATCCAGCTTGTTGATCTCGAAGTTGGGCGTCTACTGCATCCTTCATCCGGTTCAGCAACAATCTGTTGAAGACTTTCCCTGGTATTGACAGTAGTGTTATGCCTCTGTAGTTTTCACATTTGCTCAGATCTCCTTTCTTTGGTATCTTGACGAGGTGTCCTTCTTTCCAGTCCATCGGCACTTGTTCCTCCTCCCAAATCTTTTTGAATAGAAGATAAAGCATGCTTGTGGTTGCTTCGATGTCTGATTTCAGTGCTTCAGCTGGTATGTTGTCGGGTCCTGCTGCTTTCCCGTTCTTGATTTGTCTGACGGCCATTCTAATTTCCTCCGTAGTTGGTGGATTGACATCTATAGGAAGATCTATGTGTGCTGCTTCGATGTCCGGTGGATTCATTGGAGCCGGCCTATTCAGGAGTTCATCGAAGTATTCTACCCATCTGTTACGCTGTTGTTGAATTTCGGTGATTGGCTTGCCTTCTTTGTCTTTGACCGGCCTCTCTGGTTTACTGTATTTCCCTGCTAGTTTCTTCGTTGTATTGTGAAGCTGTTTCATATTTCCTTCTCTAGTAGCTTTTTCTGCCGTCGTTGCTAGTTCTTCCACGTATTTCTTCTTGTCGGCTCTAATGCTCCTCTTCACTTGTTTGTTTGCTTCTATGTATTCAGCTTGTGCTTGGACTTTCTCTGCTCGTGTTCGGCTGTTGTTAATTGCTCTCTTCTCGTTCTTCCTTTCTTTGATCTTGTCCAGTGTTTCTATAGAGATCCATTCCAGAACCTCTTGACATGTTGAAGTTAATGCTTCCTTGATGCCTTTCCAGTTGTCCTCCATAGTATTTTCTTCTTCTTTCAGTAGATTGTGTAAGGCTTGGAACCTGTTGTTGAGAGCTATCTTGAATTCATTGAGTCTGTCAGTATCTCGAAGGAAGGCTGTATTGAACCTTTGTATTGCTGTTTGTCCACTTGTCCAGTTCTTTTTTAGCTTCAGTTTTAAATTGGCTACAACTAGGTGGCGATCTGAAGCTATATCAGCTCCTCTCCTGGTTCTCACATCTTCCATTGTCCTTCGGAATTTTTTGTTGATGCAAATATGATCTATTTGGTTCTCTGTAGTGTGGTCCGGTGAGATCCATGTAGCCTTGTGTATACGCTTGTGTGGAAATATTGTGCCTCCTATGACCAATTTGTTGAATGCACATAGATTTGCAAATCTTTCTTCATTTTCGTTTTTTTCTCCCAGTTCATGTCGTCCCATAATATCTTCATATCCAGTGTTGTCTATTCCGACTTTGGCATTTAGATCTCCCATCAGAATAGTTAGGTCCTTCCTTGGGCATTTCTCAATGATTGACTGCAGCCGCTCGTAGAACTGATCTTTAATTTCGTCGTTGCTATCATTGGTGGGTGCATAACATTGGATAATATTCATTAAGATCTCCTCATTTCCATTGATATTTGACTGGTCTTCCCGGTTTCCCATATTGTTCGAACGTTCCATGTACCTATAAAAATTTTTGCTCTGGTTGTTAGTAGGGGCATCGGCCTCGTGGCTTCCGAAGGAACTCGGCTTTCACCATGAAGCGTCATAATTCTTCTAAATGAAGACCTTCTAACTCCCAGGGCAGAGTTAAAATGGTTTGGATTATTTTTTCTGGTAAGCGTTTTTTTAGCGAGTTAGTTTTCTACAGGATGGGGCCGCTAACCCCATGCCCAACCCTCCTGCTTTACCCGGGCTTGGGACCGGCAGTAACCCTATAAGAGCTACAGGCGGAGCAAATTATACACATTTAACGCAAAATTACAGAGTTCTTTCCTAAACTGTGAAAACCATGCATTAAATACTTCATTGGCAAATCTTCCATCAATTGTCCTTTACATATCTGTCAATATAAGTAGCATGCACCACACGTGCACTCCAGTAACCGGGTTGTGTCACTCTCTGGCTGGCGTTCTTAGGATTTTCCAATGCAGTTGCTTGAGACGTTTTCGGACTTTGCTCAAAATAGAATCCCGTGACGGTCCTACTGTAATATTCTTTTAATTCATATAGGTGAGAGGAACTTCTTTAACTCAAAGAATCTATTCTGGTTGTATTTTTATTAACTGAACTGATTCTCCCATTATTATTATTATTATTCACTCTCATACACTAATTCATTTTGTTCTTTTTTATTCTTATGCTCGCTATCGTTTCTTTATTTTGTGGCACATATATATTTCTGTGTCCTTTTATACCAATATTTGTGTTTAAATAAATAAATGTGAATTGGACAAAATAGTGCTAAAACTAGGTAACCTGTTTACTGTCTTATTAACCGCGATTTGTAGACTATAAAAGTTACCTCACTGCCATTAAATCTTCTTACCACTACTATGATTTTATGTTGGACGTCACTAGGCATACTTTTGTTACTTTCTACGAGCCCCCATAATCTCTAGTTTCATAGTCCATATCCATTTATGCATTTTTATGAAGCTCTAACATTAGTATGTTCTAATTAATTAATTTTAATTCCTTCTCCTTTTTGGTCGTAAGTTAACTTACTGAGTTTATTTTGGATCAAATAATCACGAACTTAGAAGAAATATGCTTTATTTTTGACATACTGATACATATTTTTGATTGTCTTTTCTTATTGTCTATTTCTTAATCACTGTACGTCTGATTAGTTCTAGGAATTAAATTATTTACAATATATATATATATATATATATATATATATATATATATATATATATATATATATATATATATATATATATATATATATATATATATATATATGACCTGTCATGTAAACGGCTTGGCTTTGATTTTCAAGTTGAAAGTTAATCCATAAGCTCTTATTCTTGGTTGTGAAGTTGGATGAACTATCTGATTTAATCACTTTTCACAATCGTAAAAAACTATATAATTATGCGTTGTATTATATACATAAAAGTAATCTTGAAGTGATACTTCAATATTCTCTTCACTTATGTACCTATTTAAAGTTAAAATACTTTTAAAGTGTTATATAGTGTAGAATTTCCTTTCAATATCAGTATCATCTTTAAATTCTATAATTTATTGTTACTAATATTTCTTTCACTTTAGGGTGCGATATGGGCTATGCGTTTTTCACCATGTGGTCGATTGTTGGTAAGTTATAATTTTGTTCACAAAAAAGTATAGTAATAATCATTTATGACACTTTTCATGTGCTCCAGTCGATTAATTCTCAATAACATCCACTTTGCTTTTTTCCCATACATTACGAAGATATTTTGTATTCACTGTATCAATAAAAGAATTATTATTTATTTTGCATGATATCAACAATAAAGTCATTTATCGATCTGACTTATTCCCATTTTTCTTCTATTTTTTCTTCCTATATCCTTTCTTATTCACTAGTAATCATTTTTACAAATTACTTATTATCTTCAATATATTTCGATTATGTTTATCAGGAAAATGTAGCGTTAAATTCTTGAATTATTATTATCATTATTGAGTACATCTTAACTGCTCACCCTTATAACTTACCTAGAGATTAATCACTTATTTTCTGAAAATTACCCTATGGACATAATGTTGTTAAAATACTTTTCGAATCTGAACTATATGTTTGTACTTCTGTATCTAAAGTGATGTGACATCATGAAATAGTATTGCTTAATCAAATAACAGTACCTGTTTTTGTCTCGATATCTCAGTGAAACAATTATAGACTAAGACCTTACATTTGATAATTAATTATTCAAGTATACATAGTCGACATTCTCTGTTCATCCTTTTGGCATTTCTTAATGGGATAATTTAATAATTGGATACTATTTTTTAATATTTTTCTAAACGTATAAACTACAATGTCAAACGTTTTCGGGAAATATGTTGATGGGATTATTTATTGAGGCAAAATGGCAAGTAGTGAGGATAAACAGAATTCCGATACAATTGGAACAAAAATTATAGTTCTGTAAATTTTCTTAAAGCATAAGTTTATAACATGATTCACAAAAAAAATTGTGCAGCTCAAAGCTGTTGTGGCAAGCCCATTTGACTACTGTATCATTTATTTAGTCATTGTAACTCAGACTCAATTCACTATGTTAATTTCGGTGTGTATGATCGACAGTATGTCTGTACATTAACGCTTAAGCTATCTTCCTATTGGTCTCAATGTTCAGGTAATCGATAATCTATCCACACCCGATTAACTCTCAAATATATATGGATTTTTTAACAGACTCACAAACTCTCTCTGTTTCATCGTGTGCTTGCTCACCGTACGCTTGTGGATTATTATTATTCATTATCAATAAACTATCTCTATAACTGGTGTTCAGGCTTTTTAATAATCTCGAGTAAATTCGCAATTCTACTAGGAGATTAAGCCTACCTAAAATACTCAGTTACAGGATATTATTATTTAGAGTCAGATATTGAGGACATCATCCTCAACATTTTGGTGAACCGCTTTTAGAACACACACCATTCCTCTACGAATTCTGCTGCATACTCTCCAAGCGTATCTTAAAGAACTTCACATTGGAATTACTATTACAATTATTAACAATTCATTAACAGTCATAATAAATCCATCCATAACATTGTTCCTTTGGAATTATTGCTGTATATTCGCATATTTAAACCAAAAGTGACAGTTTTTCTTTTTGGTGAGTCTTATATATATTTCTTGTTGTTATTTTGGATTTCTCTTCATATTGTATATTACAATCCTCGGCTTATTATTACTATTGCTTCTTCGTATCATGGCACTTGATAATTCGCTAAGCCTTTCATCTAAATCTATTTCCATGGGTGCCATCTCTGTACCTTTACCCATTTTTAATCCACGAAAGGCTGAACTCTGGTTTGCTCGCTTAGAAAGCTTTTTTGTAGCAAACAAAATCACAAACCAGAGTACGAAATTTAGTTATGCAAATTCACTGCTGCCAGATGACGTCATTGAACAAGTGCCGGATGTCATTTTTAAGCCGGATCCTGACTCACCATTCGATTGTCTAAAAAGAGAGGTCATTCGTGTCACATCTCTCACCGACCAACAGACAATTGATCAACTTTTAGCCAACGTGGAGCTAGGTGACAATACACCGTCACAGTTAGAACGCCACATGACAAACTTATTAGGAAATCGTACAGTAGACAAACGTCTACTATATCAATTGTGGCTCAGACGTCTCCCTCAAAACATTCAACAGGTACTAGCAATTGGAGACGAAGACGTTGATTTTGATAGACTAGCAGACATAGCCGACAGAATTTACGAACGGTCCAAGACTCACCTTGTATCTCAAATCCAATCAAGCTCAGCTGACGAGATCGCCGAGTTACGACGATCAGTTGATACCCTTACGAAACAGATAGCTCAGATCCAATTATTGAATGCCTCCCACAGCAAGCGTAGAGGAACATCCACAAGCCGTAGACGACGTAGTCCAAGCACTACTAGACACAACATTTGTTGGTACCATAGAACATATGGCAAACAAGCTAGAAAATGTACTCCGCCTTGTAACTTTGCAAGCACACAGAAAAAGGGACGTCAAGACCGTAGGTTAATGACGACTGCACTCACGGACCACAACTTTCAAGACAGTCGTCTATTATATGTTACAGACAAAAGAACCGGCACACAGTTTTTAGTCGACACTGGGGCAGAGGTTAGTGTAGTACCACCTACTGCACTCGGGAAAAACACACCTGACCCCAAACTAAAACTACAAGCTGCAAACAGGTCTGACATCAAGACGTACGGCAAAAGGCGGTTGCAATTAAATTTCGGTCCTAAATCTAATTTTTCCTGGAGTTTCATCATAGTGGACGTCCTCGTTCCTATAATCGGCATTGATTTTCTGCAATTCCACAAAATACTGGTAGACATCAGAAATAGGGAACTTGTCCTTGCCGAACAGAGTAAGGAAATTAGAGGGATTATATCAAATGAGACTTCCATACATTTATTAGTTAAACCTCATCATGAGAACGACAAATACGTTAATTTACTTAATCAGTTTCCAGATTTATTACGACCGAGTTTCAAACACGACAAACCGACGCATACCGTCGTACACCACATAAAGACAGAGGGTCCACCAGTGTTCGCACGTCCAAGACGCCCTGCTCCCTCTCGTCTGGCTATCGCAAAGAACGAATTCAACAAAATGATTGAGTTGGGCATCATACGCCCCTCCGATAGTCCGTGGGCATCACCGCTCCATATGGTACCTAAGAAAAACTCTTCCGAAGTTAGACCGTGCGGTGACTATAGAGCTCTCAACAGCCGGACCATACCAGATAGATATCCTCTCCCACATCTGCATGACTTCACTCATAGCCTATCTGACGTGTCGATCTTTTCAAAAATTGATCTCGTCCGTGCTTACCATCACATTCCAATTCATCCAGACGATGTTCCTAAAACAGCCATTACTACCCCCTTTGGACTATACGAATTCGTCCGTATGCCTTTCGGATTAAAGAATGCTGCACAAAGTTTCCAGCGTTTTATTGACCAAGTGGTACGGGGCTTACCGTTTGTGTATGCTTACATAGATGACCTACTTATAGCAAGCAAAGATGAAAATGAACATCTAACTCATTTGAAGATGCTTTTTGAGAAGCTAAATGAGTATGGGTTAGCAGTCAATCCTGACAAATGTGAGTTCGGAAAACAATCCCTCACCTTTTTAGGTCACGTACTTGATAAGCAAGGCATTAAACCAGTTCCTGAGGAAACACAAGCTATCAAAAATTATCCTTTGCCTGATTCATTCAAGAAACTACGACGTTTCCTTGGGATGATCAACTTTTACAGACGTTTTATCCCTAAATGTGCAGACTTAGCAAAACCACTAACTGATTTATTAAGGGGACGAGCTAAATCATTAGCAATGACACCGCAAGCAATTCAAGCATTTGATCAGTTGAAAAGCGCTTTAAGCACAGAGGCATTACTCGCACGACGAAAGGTTGATGCACCTTTAGCAATAATGACCGACGCTTCTAACGTAGCAGTAGGTGCTGTACTTCAGCAACGTGTCAATGAACAATGGCAACCCCTTGCATTTTTCTCAAAAAAGCTAAACGCAACGCAAACAAAATATAGCACATTCGGTAGAGAACTGTTGGCTATCTACTTAGCCGTCAAACACTTTCGCTACATGTTAGAAGGCAATTCTTTCACGATATATACTGATCACAAACCTCTAACTAAGTCCTTGATGCACAATCATGATAAATATAGTCCGCGCGAAATTCGTCAACTAGAATTCATTTCACAATTTGCAGCTGATATACGCTATATTAAAGGCAATGCAAATGAGGCAGCAGATGCACTATCGAGATTAAATATCAATACCTTCTCGATCCTTGATATAGACTATCAAGAAATGGCAAAGCATCAAAAGCTCGATACGGAGCTACAAAAGCTTTTGCAGTCTAAGGAAACGAAATTATTATTCCAAAACATCCCCATAAACAACAAGGACACCTCAACTTGTGATACCTCAACAGGTAAAACTCGCCCTTTTGTACCTTTCGGTATGAGACGAAATATTTTTGAGAAATTACACAATATATCTCATCCAGGTATAAAAGCCACTGTAAAGCTTGTCACAGATAGATTTGTATGGCCAAAAATAAACACAGACGTACGAAAATGGTCACGGGAATGCGTTCACTGCCAAAAGTCAAAAGTACATAGGCACATCATATCTCCTACCGGAATTTTTCCCGCCGCTAGCGCTAGGTTCGACCATATTCATATCGACATTGTTGGACCGTTACCAATTTCTAATGGTTACACGCATATACTAACATGTATAGATAGATTTACGAGATGGCCCATAGCTGTTCCGTTAAAAGACACGTCAGCATCAACAGTGGCGAAGAAGCTGGTGAAACACTGGGTTACAAACTTCGGTGTCCCTACAACAATTACGACCGACCGTGGAACGCAATTCGAAAGCAAACTATTTCATCAACTTACAGATACTTTCGGTATAAAGAGAATTAGAACCACTGCTTATCATCCGTCTGCTAATGGAATGATAGAAAGACTCCATAGACAGTTAAAAGCCTCTTTGACGGCCGCACGAGGAGATTACAAATGGGATATCAAGCTTCCTTTGATA